TCTCGCATCACTAGGTTTGAAGAACACCTTCGCTCCAAGTGGTATCACCATGCCTGGGAATTCGCTCTTGTGCAATTTCAGCCATGCGCTACTGCCATCGCTCAGCTTCTCGATGTTCAATAAATGGCTTACGCATTCCACTGCAAATGGCCAAAAACATGGTGGTAGTCCGGCTTCTAGTAGGCATGTCGATGTGGTAAGCATCAGGAACTGATTATTTCTTTCGGCGAGTGAATTGTTCTGGGGACGTCCTGGAAGCGACTGGTCTAGTGGAATCCGGAGTTCCTTGAGTGCTGATTCGAATTGTGGCGCATCATCCGAGTAAGCGTTGGTGACCTTCCTCTTACCGATATAGTGCTTCATTGCCTGCACCACTTCGTCACTATTGCTTGCTTTCAATGGATAACCCCATATCACACCAGTGAACCGATCTCGAATCACCAATATGTCCTTATCCGGCATGATCCCATCTCTCGCCATCTTCTGAGTGTTCATGAGATCGAAAGTGATAAGGTCGCCGAATGCCTTCAATTTCCGTTTGAAAGCTCCCTTGCTAGTCTTGTAGTGCTTCATCTTTGCTCTCACACATGACTTGCAGTATGGGTTCTTGTATCGGTGCGTCATCAAGTGCAATATGGATTTCGCCTCGTTCTTCAGCACTCCTGGTTTTGATAGTCTGGTTTCCGCGTCAACCACATCGACTTCCAATAGTCCTTCTTCATCTTCATCAATGTCACTCTCCCCTCGTTCAGAATCCGCATCACCTCCATGTTCGTCGCCTCCGGCTTCTTCAGGTTGACCTTCGTGATCACGATCGAATCTCTGGTCTTCCCCGTCATATTCCTCTTCAGGAGAATACCTGTCATCACCGTCTTCCTCTGGTTCTCCTTCGACGCCTGCAACAGCTGGATTGGTATCAGATTCACCATCCTGACCTCTCTGGTTATCTTTCTTCTTTCTCCTCCGTCTCCGTGGTTTCTTGGGCGGAAGTTCCTCTTGTTGTGTCTCCTGACCTGTTGTGACCTCGTCTTCATGCCCCACACCTGACAGTATGCGATGAAGTATCGTAGCCAAGCCGTCTGGTCTTGGTAAACATCTCCCGTCATCATCATTCACCTTGATGTAGGGTATGTTGTCATGCACCGATAGCGGAATCTTGTTCGCGTTCTGGTCGATGAGGTATGGCAATTGATTTGCCGGCCATATGAATGAGTACCCTTGTTCCATGCATCGTTTCCCGATGGAAAAGACTGATGGTGTGCTTTCCAACACGTGTGCCTCGGACTTCATGGGTAGTTCGTCCACATTGATGTCCACCATCTCTGATGTACTAGTTACACCATTCGCTGTCATGAAGCTCACGGATTTGGGTCCTTCCTTGGTGGTAAGGCCCATGGCATTGACTTTCTCTCTTGAGATCAAATCGTGTCCACATCCTGTGTCCATGATGAAGCGTATTGGTGGTCCATCATACCTCTCCACAGCCATGAACATCGTGGTTCCTGGTATCGTGTAGTCGACAAAATCCCTCCTTACTACCTCTCTGGTGTTGAAATCAGACAGGTCGACGTTCACCTCGATTCCTTCATCTTGAGTGATTTGTATCCATGCCTTGGCAATGTGTTCAGCATAGAATAGCTCCATCATCTTACCTTTGGCATGTGCTACTCGTGCAGCTATGTTGCTCACTCTGAGGGCTCTCAACGACGAAATGAGCTCAGTATCCACCTTCTGCACCTCATTCTTCTTCTTCTTGGAGGGACGGTTGTTTAGCTCGTTACCAGGATCGCAGGTGAACGTGGTCACATTCGCCTGGTCATCGAATCTGACTTTAAAGCGAAGCGCCAGCTTACCTTGTTGTACGTTGGGAAGTGCGGGTTGTACGTCCTCGTCATCACTCTCGATGTCTCCGCAAAGCATGAAGGCTGGCGCAGCCGGTTTGGGCTTGGCTTTGCCTCTAGCCTCTTGTTTTGTAGCAGGAGCAGCGTGATGCTGACGTTGACATTTGTCCCCGAACTTGCACGATCCTTTATGCCAATTCCAACAGATCTGATCCTTCACTGGCCTAGGGCTACTGCTCCTGCCACCGGGACTCTTTGATCTGTCACCCTTGAGGTTTTCTGGTTTCTTAGCAGAACTCTTGTGCTTCTCTTGGTGACTAAACTTGCATTTGTCTCCTCTAGAACATCCGTTTTTCCCATGGAAGTGGAAAGCGCATCCTATCTTAGACGTATCTGCTGGAGTCGCTGACCTGCCACGATCCCCTTTTGGGCTCTTCGTGGCTGATCTTCCACGATCCTGCTTCTTGTCCTTCTTGTTGTGGTCCTTCGGATTAGCCTGAGGAAGCACTGGAGCGGCGTCATGTTTCGGTGGATCGGTCTTGGTATTCTTGGGTTTCGCTTTAGGTTCCTTCTTCTCCGCCGCTGGTGTGGCTCTCACGATGTTCCCAAAAGCTTTCTCCCTTTCTTTCTTGTTTGTGGTCTCAATTGATTTCCGTATCCACTTCGTCATGATCTCTCGTAACTTCTGGTAGGTCTTATCCGGATCCTTATCCAACATGTTGTCGTACACAGACAAGTCTAACGCCATAACTTTGGAATCCTTAATCTTATCCCAAAGCAGGTTGCGAAGTGCTTTGTCAGGAAGCATGTCATCCGCATCCATACCTGATATGATCTCATCCCACTGTCCAAGGAATCTGGATAGTTGATTATCCCCAGGGAACTTTAGATCGAATAAGTGCTTGGATGCATACATCACATCAACGTTGTCGGCACTCCGGAAACTATCGACGATCAACGCTAACATTTCTCGTCCCTTGACCATTCCAGGAGTTGTGCCTCTCGCACGTCTCTGCATCATCTGCCTCACCTTCAGTTGTACGTCATGAGATCTCTCACCTGCTGCGTGGATGGTCGTTGTAGGGTGATACCTAGCTTAGCTTCTATGCTAGCGAATCTTGCTTCGCCTGATGTCTCGAGTAGAAATGGGTCATATGGTGATCTGAAGGCATCCGAGAGCCATTGGATCCAGTCTTCTTGTTTCTCGTCGCCCGATGCAGTCACGACTGCCGCTACAACCTGGGATTTCCAAACCTCCAGGTCGTGTATCTTGGGCCATGCAGGGATGTTGATCTTCTCGTGTTCCTTCCGGGATATCTTGGAGCCGCCTGAGTTAGAGGATGAAGCGGCACCATGTTCGGTTGCGGCCGCGCTCTCTGCACTCGTGCGCTCCTCTTCGTACCTCTTCCGGTATTTATTCCTCTCATCTCTGAGCCGTGATGCATGCGCTTCGAATTCCATCATGTCCTGTTGGTTCTGCATCATACCTTCGTAGTACTCAATTGCCTCTTTCTCCTCGGACCTTAGTAACTTTTCAGTACGTTCAAGTTCCGCTCTAAGCTTGGCCATCATCTCATTCTCCACACTGGGTTCTGATCCCATGTCTGGTGGTTTCAACTTCAGTGCGACCTTCAATTGTGCTTCACTTGCGCTTGATTCGATCAATTCTTCCTGGAGACGTTTCAGCATCCTCTCTTTACGTAGAATGTCCTCTTCCAACATGTTCACCTTGGCTTCGGCCTTCTTGAGTTCGGCGCTAGATGGTTGAAACGATCGATCGGATCCTTGAATCCTCGTCTGAGTCAACTCCTCGTTCGCCTTCTTCAATTGCTCTCTGATGCTCAAGATGAACTTATCCTGAGTATTAGATCGGTTGTTGAGCTCCTCATTCTCTTCTGATAACCATTTGATCTTGTTTGCATACATTGCTTCCCTCATCTTCATCTCTTCAGCATATTCGTGTTTGTTTCTGGCACTCTGCCTTTGTAGTCCAACTAACTCCTGTCTACACAGATCCTTGACGTTCTCAGCATCTGCGATTGTAGTCATGATCTCGGTTACGGCTCGATCTCTTTCCGCCGATATAGCCTGGATCTCTTCCGTGCCGATGTTCACAACTTGACTAACCATCTCTGCGCTGTTGCGATCAGCGTACTCCCCTAACTGGGTGAGACGATCCCGCATTGCCACACGATCAGTGTCCATCTGGTATTGCAGGTCGTGTGCTGCTGAGAGCAAACAGTCTCTGGATTCTGTAAGTTGGGAGATTCTTCGTTGATTTCCATATCCTTCGACATAACATTCTTCGAGGTGTGCCATCACTACTTCGTGGACTTCGGTCTCGTGTTGTATAATCTGGTTCTGTCTCTGCTCACATTCGACCATCCATGCGTTTTGGTGGTTCAACATATGCACTTCGGCAAGTAGTTGCGCACACTTCGCATTCAGGTCTCCATCGGCCCGTGCTAGTTGTAGGTTGTCAGTGCTTGCCCTTGCTCGATCTCCAGCTTCGCTGTCCGACGGCACTGGTACAGCTGACCCATCCTCCAATGCTAACACTCTCACAGCTCCGGTGTCAGTCCTCCTCCTTGTCTCCCTAGGGCTACGGCCTGATCTCGGTGTCCCCCACGGTGGTGTCGAGTGCGCTGACGGGGAACGACTTCGTGCTCTACCTGTCGCATCTTCTCTCACCGCTGTCAGAGTCTCCGCTTCGATCGTACCTGGACTAGAGTTGTGGGATGCACTCATCCGATCTGCGGCCGCAGCAGCTGCTCCAAAAGATGCAGTGCTGGCGTCGGATTGGTCCATCTTCAGTGACTGAGGGTAACTGATCTATCCGATGCGTGTGCGTTTAGATGGTGTTGTGTAAGGCCGCAGCTCGTATCCAGCTCAAAGGAGTCTGGCTACGGCTGATAACCTGTGAACGGATGGAAAGGTGTGCCCTGGCCCCGTTCTAGCTCTTAGGTCAACATGAAGCTCGCGCGCTAAAGCTCCTTTTTACCTGGTTGGGCACTTGAGCCAAAAGTATATGGCATGTACCTGTATAGCGACTATACTGGGACCCCATCCCTATTGACATCAATAACACTCACCTAAACTAAGAAGGATTCCATGAAGAAACCCACGTCCGTCCTCTGTCCTCTCTCGCTCGCAGCACGCCTTCTGCTGGTTCGGCAAGAAGAGCCGCTGCACCGCTTCCGCGCTCAGCTCGCCGCCGTAGACCAACTCCTTCGGCGGAGCGGCGAGTCGACCGTCGGCCGTGGAGACCGGTCGAGCCGGTCGGCACCGCCGAGGGGAACCGAAACGATTTCATAACCAGTCGAGACTTTAGAGCTTCGAAGTGAGACGTCACTTCTCGGGTCCCCGGGGTCACCACGAGCCCTTTGATGCCCAAAGCGGCAGATGCAACGAAGGCCCCGTTCTTTCGATGCTTCACCTCAGAATCCAAGAGTTGAAACAAGGTCCAACTCTCCGCCTTGTAGTAGATTCCCCAACAGAGATGGAACTTGTTTTGTTGGAGCGCTTGGATTCCACTTGAAGGTCTCATCAGCGATGACATCCACGATCTCCACCCTCTGCTTGTCCCCCAATTCCTCTGTGCGCTGCAAAAAACCACCGAAGGCGCTCCACCGCTCTCCTCGAGTGCTTTGAAGTCCAAGCGCCGCCCATCGAAGGCGCTCCACCGCTCTGCAGGCATCCCCAACTCCTTCGCCCAAGAAGCGCAAGCGCCCCACCCGCGTGCTGACCGCGGCTCCGCGCGTGCTGACCGGGGTGGCCCAGTACAGGATCTTTGCAGCGATGCGAAAGGAATCTGAATTAAGGTCTTCGGGGCCCAATGGGTTAGAGTCTCTTGGAGTGGGAAGGGCTTCGGTGGGATGGGAGGTGGCGACTTCCTCGCCCAGGTGGTTTTCTGTTGTTCGCCCGGTGGGATTCCGTGAGGCGACCTGATTTTAAGATCAACGTTAGGCCTAGATGTTCGCTGGAGGTTCAGTTCTTCTTGTTTTGAGACATAGGATACCCTTGGCAAAAGACCAACAGAAAGCAAAGCCAAAAAAAAACATGTTCTTTTTGGTGTCCCAGAGTTGTCACTTCCTGGTGCATCTTCTTGTGAACCGAAGAACATCAGAAAACGAGCGATTCCCTCGAACTGAGCCACCAAAAGGAGAGAGCAAGCAAGCAGGCAAGGCAAGGCAAGGCAAGGCAAGGCAAGGCAAAGCAAGGCAAAGCAAAGCAAAGCAAAGCAAAGCAAGCAAAGCCAAGCAAAGCAAGCAAAGCCAAGCAAAGCCAAGCAAAGCCACGCAAAGCCAAGCAAATCCAAGCAAAGCCAACCAACCAACCAAACAAACAAACAAACAAACAAATAAACACACAAGCAAGCAAGCAAGCAAGCAAGCAAGCAAGCAAACAATCTAACTAACTAACAAAAAACAAAACAAACTTATATAAACAAACAACAAACAAACAAACAAGCAAGCAAGCAAACAAAAAAACAAACAAACAAACAAGCAACATATTGTTCTGCAAATGGGTGGTCCTTTCCAACTTCCTGACGCTCCTCTGCTACCTTCTTCTCCCATCCACAGTCCTTGAACTGCTGGTCCATGAAGCGCCACCGCTCAGGCCTGGTCAAAGGCTGAGCGGGGAGCTGGACATCACAATACAGTTCAAGTGAACTTGATCAGTATAACTAAATATTTATATAAGAATACAATTGCAATCATATAAATATATCAGTTTTTGATATCACATACAAAATAAACATTGCAATGAAGGCACAAATGTGCAACATCCACATGCATTGACAATGTCCAAATGTCAAACGTAACAACACAATGTTGCCTAATTGACACCACTGCCAGACACTGCCAGCCACTGGTACAGCTACTACATCTACATAAACCAGTGGTTGGAAAATGCACTGAGATTAGGCCCTCTCGAAAAAAGAAACGCTCACTAGTATATATCCCAGAAGGGGATAACACAAAACAATCGCCCACTTTTGATGGCATCCAAACAGAAACCCCCTCTTGAGGTTCATCTGCCATCTACCTGGGTACCCTGCCCCACCCGCCACGGCCTGTCATCCAGGTTGATGCAGTAGATGTGTGCGAAGCAGCTCCAGCGACCCCAACTGGACGCGTCCGCGTGCTCCGCAAACGGCGGCGACGTGGTGCGCGCCGAGGTCCAAGCGCCCGAGGTCACGGCTGCACGCCTCCGGGCGATGAGGAAGAACGAAGCCAAACTCAACTTCTTGCAGATGGACACAGGTGGGACATACCAGAACCTGAGTGGGAAAGGGTGTGTACCACACTAGGACAGCAAGGACTCCAATCATAGCGATATGAATCATTGCCAGGGCAAAACCCATGAGGGCCAGGCCAAATCAAGCAACCAAGCGTTTTTACATGGTGGGCCGGCCAATCCGGCTGTGATGAGTCCTTTCTGGATGCGGAACAAAAGGCTGTATTTTTGAAAAAAAGGGTCCTCCTTCTCCCTCCCCTACGACCACTGAAAAAATTGAATAGGATTACCGCAGGAAATGCTCAGCATGCTCTGAAAAATGGGCTCCTCCTCCGTCATGGCATTCAACAACTCCTTGTCCCTTTCTGAAAAAATGAAAGGAAAATAATCCTGTGCTGCTTGGGCCGCCCTGGAGGCCCTGCCACCCTTCCTGTCACCGAATCACCTTCTTCCCCGCCCCAATGCTCCGCCTGGCCTGTGCACAGTGCGTGGAGCAAGCCCAAGGTGCGGCCTGCGGAGCTCAGCTCGGACGGCGCGCGGCTTTTGGTAGGGACCCGTTTGGGGAGCCGGAAATGGATCCAAGACAAGGCCTGGCGGCCTGGCCTTCCGAATTCCGAGCGAAAAGTTTGGGTTTTTTCCGGTAAGAGATGTCCAGCTCGTGAAAAGCAGGGGAGGAAGCACCTTGCTAAGAATGAGTGAAGGTTCATACCAAGAAGGTCGATCCCAGGTCATCCAGAATCAGCAGTCACAAAGGGTCCAGAGCCCAGGTGCTATCCATGGATGAAGTCGGGGTGCCCGACAGTCACATCCACGGCCCCTGGATGGGACGAGCCACACCACCTCGACATGTGACTGCTGGTATATTGTATGAAACATCCGTATGTTGTACAGGTACCACATTCCTTTGTATTGGTTATACGCTGTAGTGGTTCTCCCCTCTATGAACCCCATCGATGTCTGCTCAAAAACCTGTCATTCTCGGTGGCCATGGCCAACTCTCCCCTGAAACCTAGAGATTCTATCGGGGATATTCGGAGATCAGTGTTCTGAAAAACACTCTCAAACGACAACTGCAAACGATGTCCTTTTTTCCAATGCGAAGGAATCTCACACACCTTCCATTCCATCTGTTTCTGGTTCTTCAGGGTTCTTCAGTTCTTCCTCCACCCTCGCGCGCCCCCGCTTTGCCCTCGGTCTTTGCGGCGCGGGGGGCGTGCCTGCGACACACGAAGAGCAGCGCCACACGAAAGCTGAGGAGAGCGAGGGGCAGGCGCCTTGCAGCTGTGGATGGGATGGAATGAAGATGAAGCGAGGAAGATCATGTGCAAACAGTTCCAGTGACAAACCTGGAAGGTCCCTGGAAGGTTCTAAACTCTCCATGATGTCGTGGGTTTTTAGCCTCTTTGATGAGGCAGTCTCTTTAGATGTCCCAGAAGCCCCCCCATCCAAACATCTCTCCTTCTGTCCAATGAAGTCGTCTTCTTCCAGCGTCTTCAGTTCGTGGAGCCGTTTGAAGGTTCACTTTGCGTGACCCAAACAGGAGACTTGTTTGTGACCGTGATCAAGTTAGGTCACGAACTGAAGAACCAAGTTCTTGATATCTTCCATCCTGCTCCATTCTGCTCCATCCTTCCAGTGTTCCTTCCTTCTCCACTCCCCAGAACCCCACCCGCATCGCGTGAACGTCCACGTCCACGTCGTCGACGCCATGGCATGACCGCCGCGGCACGAATGTTCGGGGTGCAGAGGTCACTGGAGGTTCAGAGGTGGCCCACTCCAGGAGTACCAAAAGAGGTTAAGTGACCTGAACTAGGACCTTACTGGGGTACCTATGGGATAGTCGAACTAGGGTTCTTCAACCTCTGTTGGTAGCTGTAGCTGGAGTTTCAGTGAGTACACCCCCGTGAGTAAACCCCAACTAGAACTCTGAGGTACCCAATTCAATCCACGAACACACAGCTCGAGTATTTTCAGTTGGTACCTTGAAAAAGCATGGTACAAGTACTCGTACCGGTTGTTTTTGTTCGGGTCACCTGCCATTTTCTATGAACGAGTCAGTCGGGTCACCTGCACCGGCTCCGCTTGGCCTTTCGCGTGGAAAATGTGGCCACTCAGAGGTGTTGAGACCCAACAAGCATCTTGTACTTGCCACTCAAACCACAGACTGACTGGTCCCTTTGAAGGGGTCCATATTGAAAAAAGACGGTTGTTCCTCCTCTCCGCATCTGAAGCGTTGCTGTTCTCAGAAAGTGTCAATACCTCAGCAACTGGATCTTGTGTGGATCTCTTTGTTCCTGGTATCTGAGCAGCAGAGCCTGCGCAATGCTGAGCCAAATGTGCGACAGTCCGACCAGGTGCAAGCCTCGCGCTGCCTCTAAGGGCTGACTCCTCTTGCCTTCCATGCAACGTCCAGACGTCCAGCAACGTCCCTACCGAAGCTCGGATAGACCGATTCGGTCGAGGAAAGAATGACATAGGTCAAGGTCAAAAAGCCCTAGGGCTGCTGGCCTACCTCCGTTTCGAAGATGGCTGGGGTGGGTGCCAGGGGCTCTAACCACCCACCGAACCTGAGGATATGGGACAGGAGACCAAAAGGGAAAGATCCTGATGGAAACCCATTGATCTCGCGCTTGCGCACTCAGCCTCAAAACTGCTGTGGAAAACCACCTCAAGGCCGAGGTCTTGGGCTGTGTGCACCTTCTGACATCCCAACTAAAAGCCGTGTTCATAGTCATCTTCCACGGTGTTTTTGCCCCCTTCAAGGTAACCCCCCCCAAACAAAAATGTAATATAGAGTGCCCAGACGCTCCGTTCACAGCCCTTGCTCCCTCAAAACCTAGGGATTTGAGACCCCAGACCCCTCCATATGAGGGTCCGACCCCTCCATACCCCTCCATATGAGGGTCCATGAGCGTCTGGGTGTATATAAAAATATATGCAGGTCCCAAGACATAGCGAGACGGCGGATCGAACCCACCGCTTCACCCACTGCTCTCGGGCCCCAAGGCCATAGTCGTAGCTTCCCTTGGGGATCGCTGGAGGCACCTGCATCGTCGGTTCCCGTGGGCTGCGTTTCGGTTGCCGTGGGTCTCTGACGCGGAGATCGACGGAGCAGGATGGTGTGGTACAAAGAAGCTCCCAAAGCTTGCGAGAATTTGGGGGGAGCTTCACATCCCAAATGTCACCCTCCATCCCTCCAAATCCATCAAACACCATTCCCAAGGACCTGGCCACATCGAACAGGCCAGTGCGATGATGTTCGCAGGGTGGCCAGGGTGCCTGGATTTCGGATCCTTTTAGGGGCGAGGCTCAACTTCCCGAAATGTCCTGCCCAAAGTCGTCGCACCAGTCAGTTGTTGAGATGGCACCCTGATGCACTCTACCCATCACTCTTTTAAGCAAGTGTCCCTTAGTCGGACGTGAACTCAGCGGAGGGCGCAGTCTGCGCAGTGTCGCTTCCGTACCCTCGCTTGGGAAGGGTGTTCTAGCCGGAGCCCGAGCCTTTTCGTTGGTCAACAGCGTCTCACCCGCAGGCTTCAGACCTGCTGGTTTCAGGAGGTTTGGGACGAGTCACGTCGAGAGGAAGGAGGTTTTTAGGAGCAACCTTGGGGTCGGTTTTGGGGGGAAATCCCCAAGATTCATGATAATCCAGCTTCTTCAGTTCATGACCCTCTTGGGAAAAAAAAAAAACGCCACTCAATGAAACTACAAAATATAAAACATGTTCAAAGGCCTCTTCGAGGTGACCTACCATACAAGTTCAGATCAAGTTTAGCCCCAGGTCATCCCAAGTCTCTTCCCTAAGCAGTTCAAGTTGAAGACAGCGAATGAAATCGTAGCAGTCGATCCTTGGAGGCTTCGGAGCTTCGGAGCTCCATCTCTAGAAGTCCAGTTCAACCGGTCCTTTTTCGGGGACCAAGACCTCCGGAGGTCCTCGGGGTCATCGGCTTGACCGTCAACAGTCGACGGGTCATTCGCACGCTCAACAGTCGCCTTCCCTCCCAAACACATCCCCAAAAACCCTCACAGCCTCACGCAAGCCCGCCGATCCGAACGCCTCCCCGATCCACTTTCGCGAGGCGGCCCCACCAAACCCACGCCTTCCTTGACTTCGGTGTAGAAGCGGCGATCGCCCTGCGACCTCGACCGTGGCTCGAGCGGTGATCCGGAAAAACGGCGGAAGTGACGCGGACGCTGAGCGAGCGCCGTGTCGTTTCAGCCATGGACGGAGATGCCCAAGGAAAGCAAGGAAAAAGACCACCAGGATCCACCAGGACCTTCCAACAGGTGGTTTTTGGACACCTCTTGGAAGGTCCTTTTGGACCACCAGGACCTTAACCTCAAGGAGAAACACCAAGCAAAAGCTTCGCGGTCGATTAGTCGTCGATGGTCACTTGAGCCGAAATCGTCGGTGTAAGATCCTAAAAGTGCCATCCAGAGGCCACAGCTGCCATGAGTTTTTGATGTTTTTGTGTGGTCCATCCAAATGCCCAAGCAAAGTTTTCTCTTGTCACTTGCAAGCTGCGTCCTGAGATCCCGGGCACATACTGCCAGTTCTTGTCTTCATACAAGAGCCCGTCATTGAACACATACCTGCCCAAGAAGTGTTGGTGTTTTGTAAGTCGAAGTTTCTATTTAGTTAATACTGGTTTCATGGCTTTGGCGTTGTCTGGTGGGCAGGGACCCAGCACCTGGGCTGTCATCATCTTGACCATGTGGACCCATGCCATGTCGTTGCTGCAATGCTGAACTGCACCCAGTATCGGAATGCCCGGAGCTTCGGGAGGGTGGTCTAAAATATGTTGGCCTTAAAAGTCCAGTCGATCATTGTTGAAGACGCCTCTCGCGAATCCGGCCGGAAGACTCTCGAGACGAATGTCCTGAAGACTCTCGGTGGTCCCCCAAAACCCGTCGAACTGGACTTCTACCAGGACCCCTCAGGAAGGGTGTCTATTCAAAGCCCTTGAGCAGTTAAGGGGTATCCGGTATCCATTAACCCTCCCTTGGGAGTCCTGGTAGGGCTTGGGCCGTGCTACAATGCTGGCTCCAGCTTAATGAAAGAGCCCAACATGGGTTGATCCACATCCCTGAACCAGGACCAGGACCAGGCCATGCGACTGCACCCCGGCACTCCCATCCAAGGAGAAGAAAGCGTCCTTGGTGTGCTAATATGATCCCATTCTTCTCTTCCGCAAAAACGATTCTTGGGCTTCTCTCACTTCTCTCACTTCGCTCTCAGCAGCTTGTTTGCAAAGAGGCTGGCCGCCCTTCGATACACTCCACCCTTCCACCCTCCACCCGAAAAGAAGCTTCAGGACCCACCCCAAACTCCCATCCAGCACCTGCCCTCCACCGCATATCCACGCTCCCACGTAGCTTGGTAGCGGCCCCCATTCGGGTAGACCTCCGCGGCTTGAAGTTTCAGACGTCTTCGAGCCCCCAAAAACATGGCCTGTTCCTCCCCCCAGGGACCAGTCCACTTCACTTCAAGATGGGACTCAACATGATTGACTGGCTCAGGTCCTGGCCAAGGCTCCTTGCCCGTGGAATTCGCCTTTCCGGAACCTTCAGGGAGCAAAAAGCCGCGCACGTCGCGTGGGTCGTTTGTCGCGCGTCGTCCGCGCCGCGGCGTAGTCCGCACCGGTGACAGCGAAGCGGGTTTCCGAGGGCCACGCTGACCGACGTAGACGACGCCGTTGGGGAACCTGAGGATTGGGAGAGTGAAATCCACCTGACGATTTCAAAAGGACATGTATTGTGGCCTTTTTGTGGCCTATAAGGCCTTGAGCTGTATACATCTGTATGCTACTCAAACAGCCCAAGCGAGAGAGAGAGAGAGAGAGGGGGAACAATTTCGCGCAGGTCTGAGTCTGGGCTATGGCCGCACGGAAAATCGGTGAAGGACTGTTTGAAAAGATCTATGTCGAGGAAATGGGTTTGAAGGATCGATGTTGTTTGATACTGTTACTAACAGCTGCCGAATGCCATGAGATTGACCGACCTAATTGCGCGGACTTTGGACTTCTCATCGCCATCGCCATCGCCATTCCACGGCCGCTGAAGGTGACCAAACCAACCCAACCATCTGGGGCTTCGTTGACCGAACCCAACCGTTCGCCACTGGACATCAACGGGCGACCCGTTTGGGCGAACGGTTGGGTTTGGGCGACGGAACGGGTCCGAGCCGGGCGCGGGGAAGGGGGTCTCAACTGGTTGAGCACTGCTACAGCTACAGAGCGTCAGCAATACAAAAAACTATGGCATCTCAAAAGGCTCTGCATTTGGGTTTGGGGTGAAACATGCTGCGAACACTTCCCAGAGGCTCCCGGCTCCAGGGTCCACCAAAACCACCAAGTCCATAACACCAGCTGGGTCCACCCTGCCGTGGCGCGACCGACAACGCGCATCGCGCCGAGCCACGTGAACTTCCCTTCTCCTTCATACCACTCGTTCTTGCTGGGCCTTGGCACGACGCCACCGTTGCGTGCGATCCCGTCGTCGCGACACCGAGGACGCTCCACGTCCACCCGGAGCGAGCGAAAGACGTTGGTAGACTGGAAAAGTGAAGGGTCTTGTTGCCGTGAATGGGACACATCAATGTGACTTTCTCCATTTCTTGCGGAGCGCCATTTTGCGCTCCAACAAGTTGTTCGCTGGACATCAGGACAGAGGATGTTAGTGATTCTGACTCTTCTTTTGGCGGATACTTATTTAGGCGCTCACAAGGTTTGTGGACAAAAATACCCAGATGCCTTAAGGGTTCAGTTGGGTGAAGTCAGCTAGACTGGAAAGCTCAACTGAAGGGTCTTTCTTCAGACCCTTCGGTCTTGAAGTCAGCGATCGACTGGACCCGACGACCCGAATTGCCCCGTCGCCACGAATCGCTGGACATCAGCTGGACCGATGTTGCGATGCGTGCCCCTTTAAAAAGACAAATATGTTCACAGTCGTTGGACTGATGTTTGGGGTCAAAAAAGGAAACCAGGGGCCCGACCGAACTCGGTCTTTGCACATTGAAGGTTGAAGCGCTGAACTCAAATTGGTGACCAGCGATGCGCTCCGTTCGCTAGTGACGTTCCGCTAGACGTGAATTCGCTCGTGGAGTCGAAACATGTTGTAAATGAGATACACCCTAGAAGTCCAGTTCGACTATATTTTGACCGGCTGAAGTAAAGGAAATTCCCTTACTCAGGTCCCCTAGTCAGACCATGCTTTTTATAGTCTTTGACTCCTAGGGTACACGGCAAAAGCCCAAAGACTTTGGAGGCCGAAAAGATGTGCCCAAGGTCTTGCCAGTTGATCGGACCTGGTCCCGGAAAAAAAGAGATGGGTCATTCGTGTCTCTTGTTTAGATGCACCATCTCGTTCAACGGTACAAGGAACTGTCCAAACCTCCAAACCTTCCACCAAGGAAAAGGCCATGCACCAGCACCCGCCTCCAAAAATGGTCTCTAAACAGAATCGTCTCGGAGATTGGCTGGTGAATATGATTGTAGGAAGAAGTTGGGTCCCCCCGAGTTTTGTCGAACCTCTCAAGGTGCTTTTTCGCCAACTACTATTTCATCATGTTTTTCACTACCAGTCAAAGGTCCACCCCTCGAAGCTTTGAAGGCCAGCCCGGCGGCTCCCATCCGCTTCGGCGTCTCTCGTCGGCTCCGCCAGGCACCCCAGACCCTTCGTAGGAGGTGTTGCTCCACAAGGACCTGGGGTCCCCACCCCGTCGGGGGGAACGGTGCGCGGACGCAAGGGGGCCCTCTGGGGATCGCCCGAGACACCCTGCGTTGTGGCCTGGAAAAAGAATCGGTGTCTAAAGGACATGCCATCTGGTTCAGTGACGCTAAAGACTCATGCAGACTGAAGGGAAGTTCAACATTCGCTTTTGGGAATCTTGCACACGGTGGGACGCAAGACCAAGACATACCAAGACCCAGGTCCCAATCAAAAAAGGGCATTCATGGATGGTGCGAAAAGGTGGGAGTTCAGACTCGGGCGGTTGCTTTTTTGCTGTGATTTCTTGGGGTTGAGTTAGTTGAAAAATTAAGCATCAAAACGCCAAGTTGTGTTTTCTAACATGGTGATCTAAGACTCAAATAGGATTCGTACGAAAATGAAGCTAAATCTGCAATTGAGTCGATGTGCCAATCCAAAGTCTGAGCTTAAGAAAACGCCTCAGAAACAGGATGAAGTTCACACCACCTCCCCCTTCACCAGAATAAAGCTGTCTAACCTTCCGTACCCGATCCAGCCCTTTCGTCTAACCTTCCGATCGAGATGAACCTCTCATCCCCCCTCACCAATCGGCCGCACTGCCGTGGTTTCCTTCACCGATCGCATCCCCCTTCCTCCACCGCTTCGGGCGACGTGACAACGAGCCGGTTCGCGCGTTCGTCTTGTCGTGGACGCGGACGTAGGACTACTCTGCAAAGGGTGTGTTCGGAACCCCAAAAGAAAACACACCAAAAATGACATGGAAAAAAGATCCAATAATCCAATACGAAGGAACATTTTAGAGAACGTCAAGTCAAGAATAACAGGTCCAAATGGAAAAATCATCGACAATCCTGGCCCCTCTGGCCCCTCTGGCCCGCGAAACCTTCAAAGACTCTCCCCCACCGACGGGGGGATCAAGCCACGTGCGGCGCTCGCTCTCAGGCCCCCAGCATTGCGGCGCTCTCTCCCCGATCGCTCGAAACCCCCCGCAACCCGCGAACCCGTCGCGCCGGCCGTTCAGGCGGCGCGTGACCCGCGGCGCGTGACCCGCGGAGAAGCTGTGGGTCCGAGTGCTTTGTTCAGGTGGAGTGCATGAATTTGGGGGTGTTGGAATGGTGGGTCTCGTCATACAGCATGCTTTCTAGCTCTGCAGTGTCCACAGGCTGGTACTCTTAGTACCTTCACAAGATTTACCTTCAGCTGGTACTTGTGGTAGAAAGGCTCGTCTGAACACCGGGGATCCTACCAAACACATCTGGCCCCTTTTTCAAGGAAGTCGGAATGCCATGACCTCACGAAACGTGGTGCACATCTTCAAAAAGATCCTTTCAGGGTCCACCTGAGTCCACCTGGCATGTTGGGATGGCACCTAGCTCACCGTCTCGGGATGTCTCGGCGTCTCAGCCCTAGGCATTCCTCTGAGACCCATCTGGAGCTCGTCCTTCAGGGCCCTACACACAGAGATCACAGAGCTTTCTCTCCCTGTCTTCACCCTTAGAAGGCAAACTCATCACCCGAGTCCAGCAGTCCGACCATGTTAAAAACGGTCTGACGACCCTGGTGATTCGAGTTCCGGAATTCCTGTACGACCGGGTGCTGCCCAGTAGACCTAGTCGAACTGGACCTTCGGAGGTCCTGAACCTTCAAGATGACCAAATGACCGGAGGGTCCAAAAGAGGGTCCGACTTTTTCGTTGCCGAGGAGATCTTCGAACCCTTGCTTTGAAAAGATAACGCTCACTCTCTAGACACCACCGCTACTGTCGGTCGCTTGTTCAGCTTTCGTGTGATTGAACATTCAGGAAAAAGCCGCACACACACTTTTTCCTTCGAGAGACTACAGGCATGGGGGCGTAGCTCCCGGGTTCGAACAGTCAAAATCAGGTAGGAAAGAGGGATGTGACCAACACAAAAGCTCAACCGTAGGACAGATCTCCTTCGCGGAGAGCGCTCTTCACGAGCCCTACTATTGAACAAAAGGTTGAACACACAACATGACTCAGGATTCACTCCTCAGAGCCCAGGCCCCTCACCCCGCCCATTTCTGAGCTGCGCTCTAGTCTCGAACGAGCTGACTAGGCCAGGATGCTCGAACCGATTTCCGGCCGACTCTTTCACCGAACTCAAGATCGTTTCTTGAGGGTGCATCCGCCGGGTTTGCGTCTGTGGCGACGCGATCGATGAAAACTCTGATCTGCATTTGGCACACGAAATCCCAAAAGACCGAAACGAGGAGACAAAGATCTTCTTTGGTCGAATATAGCCTTCACGAACGCAGCTTCGACAACTTCGGAGTCAGTAAACATGAGCAAATCAGCACGAAAAAGGCGACTCTCGAAAGTTTTCAATGCCACGATCGGGGCAACCATCTCGACCGGCACGATCTGAGTTTGTCGGGCCAGCCACTGATCTTTCACAGCTTGCGGAACTGCTTCCGAGAACTGGAGAGGGTCCCTGAGCCTCCGATCAAACAGCACAGCTCCTATTCGGTCGGGTCTTCTGTCGTGATCACGAGGGTCAGGGGAAAAACCATCTGTGAACAAAACAGCGTCGGCTTTCTCACCTGCACACAAATCGATCGTTCGTGGGTGTCCCGCCTCCACAAGTGCAAGCCATTGGTTCAAGGACTCTCGCAAGGGGGGGTCTAACACAAAACGATCGTTCACAGCCACCCGGGCGTATTGTCGTTCCGAGATGGCTCTCAGGAAAGCACGACCGACTTTTCCCCAAAGCTGACTCGCACCAAACATTAGTTTCCCTTTTAGTTTGCCGGCCGCCTGACCAGGCTCAAGTGAATCAGCCTTGAGAATACAGGTGATCTCTTCCATGAGCTCATCTCTGCGATCGCTCTTGATCTCAAGCAAGCACTCGGTCAGGTTGAAGGTCACACCTATAAGATGGTGGGCGATCGAGACAATTGGAGTTTCTTCGGGTCGAAAGCCGCCCCGAGCCACCAGTGCACTTTCTGTGCAACCTCAAAATCAGAACTCACTGACTCGATCGGTTCGAAGCCATATTTGTCGTCAATAGAAATTGAACGAGACTAAGTTGAACAACTTCAGACAAATCTCATTGATCGCAGCCGATCTCCTGTTGTAATTGTACACAGAGGATACAAGGCCGAACGAGTGTCCGATCATGACGAAAAACTCAGGCCTCCTAGAACTAGGATTCTTCAAACAAATCACGCTGAACTTTCTCTGCGCCGGCCGAATAGCCACTTGCCGATAGGCTTTCCGTTCGTCTAGCACCCAGCCTGCAAAGTTGGACTCAGGCAACAACGATCGTAACTTTCTGAGTGCAGCCACGTTCGTGTCGGTCGAGGGCAACTGGAGTTTCTCTGTGATCCGCGTGATCTGGTTGATCAAGTTCGTGGTTGCAGTCTTGAACAAATCCCGAAGCCCTCAAAGTGGGTAAAAAAACAGAGGGTGAGTCACGGTGAGTCCACAGTCCCGCTCGTTCAAGAACAAACAGTACTTCAAGACCTTGTCCATCGTGAGGGGAAAAACCGGAACATCGAACGCCCCCATCCACCTCTCCAGACGTTCGAAGGTCTTGACGTGCGCAGCGATCGTTCGATGAGCTCCCGACAGCAGCACTAAGTTCCTGAGCTGGGATTTCTCGGCTGATGAAAGCTCAGGACCCAGTTATTGTGCCTCTTGGAACAAACGAGCGTGCTCTCCTGCTCTAAGACCGATCTCTTCAAGTCGACCGGCCCACTTCTTCTTCTCAGAGCGTTCTTTGTCGAGCAGAGGTGTCGATGACGACGAACCTGAACTGTTGAGCCCTTTTGCCTTCTTGGGCTGAGTCAAAGGCTTGGAGGTCAAGCTCGCGATCGCGGCCCTCTTTCTCAGTGATGCTGTGGGGTCCGGAGTGGAAGAAGCCGAGCTGGCTGACTCACACAGGCCAAAACCCAGTTGCACCGCAGTTGATTCAAAGTACGCTCGCTCAACCGAGTGGGCTAGTGACCAATACTGCTCTAGCATATGTTCTCTTCCTTGGAACACATTTTATTTGTGATCGACTCATCCCATGAACGACCGAGCTCGAGCACCTTCTCCACGAACTCTGACCCCGATGGAGCCTCGAGCGCCACTGTGAAGGCCAATGAACTCAGTGGGGTCTTCTTGACTGCCTGAGCAAAGGCGGGGTCGAACACCGGGAGATCAAGGATCTTGGAGGCCCATCTATCAGGTCGGAACATGCTCTTGATCCAATCGATCATCCTCGAGCCAGAGACTCGAAGTTGGGTCCGGCTCGAACGAGCGAACATGAAAGACCGAGAGGGCGCGACCCAGTGACCTACCATGGAGATAAATCGAAAAGAATCAGACGACCCTGCACCTGAAAAAGGCAAAACGATTGTCAGTTGTTGATCTGGAGTCCTCGTTCACCGAGTGACAACTGAAAAGATAACCGAGAGGGTTGAATGAATAAATGAAAACACACCCTGAACAGGGGAATACGTCCAGCCAGGTGCAAACTACGGCCCGGCCGGTGACCCCTGGGCCTCCACAGCCCAACACCCCACTGAGTCGCTTGCCTCACGCGGGCGACAGTGCACGAGGTGTCGAACATGGCCGAGCGGCGTGATCGAGGTGTCAAAGCCAAGCTCAAGATCAAATGAACACAAAAACAAAAACGAAGCAGTAAGCTGGCTGAACCTCATTTTTCAGTCGAGCGAATTTCCGGCTCCGGTCAAACTCGACCAGTGCGATTGACCAAACTTCAAGCCGCCTCAACTGCCCGGCAGGGCTGGCTCGAAAGATCTCGGCGCTTGCGAGTTGTTGAGCTCAGCACCTGTCTCATTGATCTCATCGATCTGTACAGATGATCGCCTCTGAGGCCTTGGTGGATATGATCCTGCCGGTGCCAGCCAGTTGGACCCATAACCACGAGCCGCTTCCACAAAGGCGTGAGGTGTCATGGCTGAACAGTCAATGGGCTCAGTGCGCCTCTGCTCCGTCGATCGTCGAGGCGGTGCCACTGCACCTCCGGTCAATGAGCCCGGTGGCGGTGCATGTCCTGGATCCGTCATCGATGGTTTGGCGCTGCTCACTGGCGCGAGCGGCACCCATCCAGCGGGCGATGGCCCTTGCAAGGCTGGCAGCAGCTTGGGAGCACCCTCTAAAGGCTGAACAGCTGGCCCGTCCACGATCGGCGGCATGATGTTGGCCACCACTTCCTCCAAAGGATCATGGCACTGAAGAGCCAGCGCTTCAGCATGCACGATCGCTCTATCCATCTTGAAGAGCGGACTCTCGCACACCAGGTGGACATTGATCGGATTGGATTCCACTGCGATAGCAGAAATTCTGGGACCAGTGTCCTCGCTTGATGAAGCTTCGATCTTGGCCGTCCAGTGGGCATGGATCGCTGCCAGCTGACTGAACTGCAAGGCCTGATCAGGCCCTTCAACTCTTGCACCATGATCACGGCACCACTTTGCATCTCGGATCAAAGTTGGACCCGACACCCTGCTGATCACCAGCCATAATGAAGGGATGGAGGCCGTGTTGGCTGAGATGTCCAGTCGATCGCTGGCTGACCAAAACCTCTATTTCTAAACGATCTGCATCAGCCCCGAGCGAATCAGGGGAGGAGGTCGCAGTGAACCTACATTCGAAGTGGCAAAGTGGAAAATCCAGTGCCGCAACAATGCCGCCTTCTGAACAGGCGTACACTCTGCCACCGACCTCCCAAGAAACTGCCACCACTCTCCAGCCTTGGAAGACCGTGATGACAATGCTCGGGATGAACACCGTATCCGAGAGGATCGTGTGGATCGCGTCCGCGATGTGGATCATCTGGATGCTCATGTCGGCATCCGAGCGATAACCCCTCAGTTCCAGATGAACGAGCAGGTGTCCTTCCAGCTTGATCTTCATTCACGTCAGCCCAGGTCGGACTGCTCTCCGTCATGGGAGGCCATCTGAACGGTTGAAATGCCGAGTGGCTAAGAACTGAACCAGTCATCGCATCCCACTTGGCGCATGGCACGCTGGTGTAGCAAGTAGCTGACCCACAGATCACGACCTTGACAATGTCGAGCGTGCGCACCAAGAACAGGTTGAAGTGATAACCAGTCGAAGGACTCTTCACCAGATTCCGATCGGACTTCACGTTCAGGTAGCTGAGCGCATTCGTCAGCACTTCATCGAGCAACCAGTTCTGAAAAGGGCTCTGGATTCACATGTCACGATTGTCCAGAATGAGGATCGATCGTTCGCCCTCACCTGACCCGATCTGAGAAAGATGATCAGGCAATGCCGTGTTGAGGGGGTTGTGCCTCAAGTTGGCGGGCGCCATATTGCCCCAGCGAATTGCCCTCCGTCCCCGGCGAGCTGCCTGTTCTTGCTGTCTCCTGAGCTTTCGGGATGCAGGCGTCTCGTTCGAGTGGTTGAGAAAGCTCTGGGCAGCTTGGATGACAGGCGCGGCTGAAGAGCTTGGCGGTGGCCCTCCTGCTGGAGGTGGCGGTGGCACCTGAACCGGTGTTGCTGAAGGAGCTGGTGTGCTTGTACTGGCATCAGCATGTTCAGCACTGCTCTCCTGAAGAGGTTCCAGTTCAGGAGCAGCCCAAGGATCCTGCTGATCGTCGTCGACTCGCGTCCATGAGCTGACCGAACTGGTCTCATCGATCCTGCCAGAGGCATTGAACAATTGTTGCCTCAAAGCAGCCGGCATGGCTTTCACCTTTGGCTGTCTTGGTCGATCAGCCATGCCTAAAGCTTCTTGCCCAGGCCCAAACCTATGAGAAAACACCTGGCGAGAAGCTTGAGCCAAAATGGCATACGATCGTACATTCGAATGTGACTCACGATCGATAAACCAAAACCTGAACAGGTGTCATGAAAGTGCATCTCCTACCCTACCAACCAAACCGTCGTATGAGACCGGAACTACAGCGCCGATGTTCACCTAGCACTTCCTGTCTGGGTGCCTCTGGGGACCTGTCTGGATGTAGGGTTGGAAGCAGCCAGGTGACCCGTTGCAAGCAGCTGTTCCAGGAAATCCCTTGCCTTGATGGACATCTCAACCAGTTTCAAATTACTTCCAAATTACTGGTGAGAAAAAAGACACCAGTACACCGGGTACACTCCGAACTTCAAACCGCTCCTTTTTATGAGGTGACATCTGCCACAGTCATCTCAAATGTCTTGATGGCTTCCGCCGTGTTCAGCCGCAACTTCAAATCAACGTGACCCCCTCCCAGCCAAAAGTGCTCGAGCTTTGCAATGCCATCCTGGCATCCAGGGTGATGATGGTGGTGTGAAGAAGGCATCGCCGGCACCGGCATAAACATATACACTGAGTGTTCCTGTTTCTTTCAAAGGTTTTTCCCTAATGTTTGTGTATCATTGAAGTACTTGGAAAATCCGATGGCCGGTCGGAATAGAAGTTTACACTGATGTTCTTCGAGGGGCTTGTGGTTTTCTTCTAGGAAAAGGAGGATCATTCGTCTTCCTTCTTTGACCCCAAAATGCTGCTATCCAGCATGTCTTATATGTCTTTGTTCAGCAAATGGTCGAAATTCCTGAAGTTCACCCACGCGTCGCAGTTCACCTTGAGGAGCTTGGGAGAAAAAGAAAGGAAAAAGCATCCAACCCTTCTCTATCTCCACCAAGCGTCGCTGAGGATCATCGGAAGGTCCTGTCCCAAAGGGGTCACTGCATTGTGTCCGCAGCCCGTGATCGCTTCACAGGCAGCTCCTTCTAAGAGCCTGCGGCAGCTTCTTCACGGCGGAGCGAGTCCAAGAAACCGACTCTAAGGGGTTTGGGTTGGCCCTTTCGACGGCGTTTTCCGCTGCAAGAACTAACATGGCCAGGTGTCGTGTTGGTTTAGGGAAGGGGAACCCTCCCAAGGCCAAGGACCAAGGCCAACATGCCCAAGGCCGAATGTATGCTACTGGGAGTTGTTCCTGGTGACCGACCGGGGATGTTTCTCAAACTTTGAAGGTCCCTGGAAATCAGCAGATGATCCGGCAAGATCTGTTTCAGAAAAAAGAAACTTGTAGGCCGGCATCTTCAAGGAAAAATGGTCTCCCAATGTCTCCCAGCTTCTTCAGTTCGTGACCTTCGGAGTCCCGAACGTCCAAGTTTGACCGGTCAAACACCGGGCCGTTGGGCCAGGCCAGGTCACCAGGCAAGCCTTGCCAGGACATCAAGTGAAGACGTCACGAACGGAAAACACCTGGACCTTCTATTTTCGATGCAAAGTTTTAACAACCCAAATGAACCAGGGGGTCACATGTCGGGATGGCGTTTAGTCCCATCCAGCGAGTGGATGTTCTGGGAAGCCCTATATCCTTGGAACTACTGGGAGGTAGGTCCTATTCATCTAGAGTCATGATGCTTCATCCATCCTTTCGGCCATCGGGTCTCCAGCCTCATGTTGTATTGCTTCTTGCCCAGCGGTGCCAGACTCCTCGCAGCCTCCAAGGCTTGAACCACCTTAATCAGTTTCTCCTTATGCAGCTTCGCCACGTACTGCACGATCACGAGGACACAGCGAACGCGTCCAGGCTCAGAAGCGTCGTCCAGCCTAGAAAATAGACAGATATTCATTACCCTGGTTTTCACCTCGCAAACCATCAAAAACCTGGTTTTCCCTAGCAGTAGCAAGAGGTCCATGGTTTTGAGTGCCGTTATGGAATGGCAGAAGCAAGACTTTGGAGTTGGCCCCTGGTACACCCTGCCGCAATCATCAGTAGTCCGCGGCTCCGTCCCTCCTGTGGGGGTGCCCTGTCTGGAAGCCTATAGGTATCGGTATATGTGGGGTAGTCCAGCCAGGACACCCCGACAGGAGGGTCCAGGTACACATCATCTACTTGCACACATAGTTCAGGCCACTTGGTGTTTTCCAAAACGACGCTCTTGCAGAGCTCTTCCACAGCACCAGCGCCCAAACGATCTCGGCGCCATTCCAAGCTCTGCTCGTAGTAGGGCGGCTCCGACTCCACCGCCAACAGCACTGCAGAGAGCTTCAGACCTGCACCACTCTCCCCGGACGGTCTTCGTCCCCCGCTTTGGATCGTCCAACCGAACGACGCTTCGGAGACGAGACTCGAGTTCCTCGCACGATCCAACGCAGGAAGATCGAAGGATCGAAGTCCAAGCCGTTTGAGAGAGGTCCACGGTACATACCAGCACCTCTCGTCAGGTCCATCCACACCGAATGTCTCCACACCCACAGCGGTCCAGGTCGATACTCTAGACTGCTTCATAAAGCCCCCATATGAAGAGGATATCCAATTTGAGGGGGTGATCCAATGTGATGAATCAAGAGTCACCAGCACCCCCCAGTCGGGCTGCTTCGTGGACACCCCGAATCCACAGCTTCAGGAAGGGCTACAAATAGACACCCGACAGGAGGGTGGTCTTGGTATAAATGAGCGCTTGCGTTCGGGGATCGTCTCTGTCCGAGGATCCCACCCAAAGGGTCGGTTGACGGGGCGACACACCCGGAAGGATCGGCGATTCGGGTGGGACAACGCGGCCGGCGATCGACGAGGGATTCACTACGGCACCGATGAGGTCCCCCATTCCAAGAGGGGTTGAGAGAGCTTATGATACCCTATGGCGGGACATTACATGGGATAGGCGAAAAAGGCATGTTCAACCTCAAAAAAGGCATCTCCACAAGGCATCTCCATGTCCCAGGAAAAAAAACGACCTCCCAAAGCAAGACAAGTTCTCCTCCGTTCGCCCTCGTCTTTGGTTTCATCCCACGCCTTTCGCCTTCTCTTCCATCCGCGCTTTGATCTCCTCCACACCGAGATCTGCTGCCCCTGCGGCAGCCACGGCGCTTCCGCCCACGGCGCTTCCGCGGCGGAGTCCGGCGAGTCCCGCGCGTCGGAGTAGCGTCCGCGTCGCTGGAGGTTCCACCAGTGGCAGCCCTAAGAGTCGAAGCTCATCTGCCGGAAGCAGCGCCATGGGTGGGTGAACTCGTGCCAAGGTGGTCGATGGGGCGCTCCTGCGCCTCTTGGTGCAAGTGAACTGTCTGCAAGTGAGTTCGGTCAGAATATATGGTAGATGTGAACAGATGTGAAGAGCAGGACGTTCAAGCAGATCAGGGGAATCTGAGCTGAGGGTCTTTTCCATCCTTTTCAGTACATTGCATCTACTGAGTCGGAACTGATTTTGTGACAACGAAGACCCTGGCCGACCTGAGGGATGCGTGTTGATAGAAGCCACTTGCACATGTGGCCGCTCGACAGCTCCCAAGGTTTGACGCAAGCTGTTTGACAATGCAGAACCTGGGGTCTTGTGGCATGGAGCTCCCTGGTGTTGGTTTGGGGTCTCAAGATGTCTTCTGATTTAGGAATCTGGCGATCTTTGAGCTGCAGAGTGTTGGCATTCTTGTTGGGGTGCCATTTCCTTCTCATTCAGGACTTTCAGTGTTCTAGTTGATCTGCCAATCTTGAATCCAATGTCTGCGGGGGGCATCCCTCTTCCTATGTGCGTTCGCTGTCATGGTACTACTGGGCACCAAATGAGGCGTTCTGCTTTTGTACGTTTTCCGCCAAGAGTCCTTCGACAAGCAGCTCCGCTGCTCCTGGAAACCTCTGCTTTCAGCAGAGGTGCTGCCCCAGAACTGCCTTGGGCAGTTTCTGAAACATGACTGGTCCCGGGGAGATGTGCTTCTTGAAACCAAGAAAGGTCTCCATCATCGGACCCCGAGTTCACGTGACCCCGCGGAACCCGGTTCCGCTCGTTTCAGCATCTCAAGGGACCCGGACGCGCCGGTGGACAGCGGCAGTCTGGCGTTGCATACAACTTCCTCGCTGCTTTGGGGTGGGTTCGAGAAAACACCCACCACGACTGAACGCCACGTCCTGGGATTTCGAGTCGGTCGACTCAGCGAACGAGGCTGCCCATGTCATTCGGTCATTAAGGTTACTACAGTAAATTCATATGGTGTTGCATGGTATTCTTATTGATAAGGAGACCACCAAAATATAAATTCAGAGCTATGATGCGTCATGGAGTTTCTCCATCAAAACCCTTCCCCCGGTCGACGTCGCATTGGAGTTTCTCCAATTCTGTCGACGTCATGGGGGAACGGCATGCGAAGCGGCTATGATGCGAAGTCCTGCGATCCTGGAACCCACAAGCAGAACAAGACCTGGTCAAAAAATGGTCAAAAAGACTCTAGAGGTGTACCAGGGCCTACCAGGGCCGTCTAAGGGATGTCCAAGGGGTGTCTACTCAGAGCCCCTGAGGGGTTCATGGATGTCTATTAACCATCCTGAAGGGGGGGGGCCCTGGTAGTGAACAGCTGGCGTGCTGTTCGCCTTTTGAAAGGGGCTCCAGGCAGTCGTTGGTCGGCTGAATTCGGCGACCAAGGTGGGACTTCTCTGGACTGTAGCCTGACACACATTGACATGGGGGATTGATCTCTATGTCCCATCTCTTCGGGGAACCTGTTGATGTAGCCCACCATGGTCCACACCTGTCGAATAGCCTCTCAGATGGCGGCTCTGCGGAGGCCTGCCTGCGCAGAGCATCGCTGAGGGTAGCCATGGTTCATGGGGAAAAACCGAAGGACTCCAACCTGGAGAGTGCTTCGGTTCCCCCAAACCGCCAGGAAGGTCATGTCTTCGGCGCATTGACCCAGGTCGCAGGTCGGCCGCTCCCACCAGATGCAGGTGTATGGTATAGCACCCCTACTCCGCACAATTGGAGAGGCGAAAGCTGCAGTGACCACCACCCAAAAGCATTTTCCGGGTGAAACGGATAAACCATTAATAAAAAATATTGGAATCAAAAGAGTTGCAAAAACATATCATATCAGATATGTGTGATGCCAAATGGGATCACCTCTCATTGCTTGCATCTTTTTCATGTTGGGAGGTCGAGGTCGCACTGAACAGTGCCCTCTCCTCGACCTTGTTTAGTCTTGGTCGACCTTCGCCCTTTGAGTGTTCAATTGGACCTGGTTTGGTCGAAAAGATCTTTCCCTATAGATCCACATACCTTCTCAGAAGGTACAAGTCATTGGACCCTCAAAGCCTGCATAAATACAGTATTTTCGAATTAGCGTACCTGAGAAGGTCTGCGGATCCATAAGCTTTCAAAACCCTCTGCTTCGAGGAGGCACCCAGTCCTTCTGGCACCGCCCCGACCTGTATCATACCCTTTTCGGTTCCCCTCCGGCGGTCAGCGAGAAGATGGGACGCAGATCAGGGGAGAAGGCATGGAAGGATCTGGGAGCTTCTCCCTGTCAGAGAATGGGCGATGGTACGACCCCGGCCCAAGCTTGAGCCAGGGTGGCCACGGCCAAGCTTGACATGGTCCCAATGTTCTTTACACTTGGTGAAGTTACGACCCGAATATAGTCAACAAAACACCCCCCCCTTCACCCTTCAAAGCAAATCATCCCAAATCGATCCAGGTCATTCTTCTATCCACTATGTGGTGCCAGCTCCCCGAGCTGGGAAGAAAAACCGATCCAATCGACCCAGAGCCCCAAACCCCCAGTCTCCACTCCCCACCACTCCCCACTCCCCACCACTCCCCACCACTCCCCACCACTCCCCACCACTCCCCACCACTCCCCACCACTCCCCACCACTCC